AACAGACAGTCCCAGGTACAGCCTGGTACAGGAACAGACACAAACAGGTACAGGAACAGACACAAGCAGGAACAAGAAAAAACAGTCACAGGAACAGACACAAACAGGTAAAGGAACCTACACAAACAGGTACAGACAGGAACAGTCAGAGAAACATGTCACGGTCACAGTCACAGGAACAGACAGTCACAGGAATATACAGTCACAGGAATATATAGCCACAGTTGTAGGAACATACAGTCACAGTAAGGGGAACGTATGAGTCACTGGAACAGTCATAGGAAAAGGATAAAGGAGCAGTCACGGACATGGGTACAGAGTCTATTATATGCTGTGGTGTGCACAACCACTGATATTTCATACACTGCACAAAGTGATGTAACAGTGGTCACCTTGCCCAGGATGAAGGCGGCCAGTGTGACCAACTTAAGTTTGCTGGGAGTGATGACAAAATACTGCTGGAGGTTCTGGGGAACAGTGAACTTGTTGGCAGAGTCTCCTGACTTGTCGTGGCATTCTACACTGGTTGAAGAAGACATTGCCAAACTAGGTGTCTCAGACAGAAAGATGTGCTTTGGATCACCCAGCGACATTCCTGCCATCCTCTCAACACCTGCAAACAGAAACAAAACATGCTATCCCACAAAGTGATTACAATGCCATTTAGAAAGTGGTCATATTCAACACATGCTATATTTGGGATTACACTTTCTTAGCAAATTACAAATTCTATTACTTTTTGGGGTTGAGTTCCATCCGGGATTCGAACCTACACCCTCAGACTCAGGCACCAAATCGCCAGCATTGCCTTTGACCACTTTCTTAATGGCATTGTGTAATCATAGCTTTCGCCCGAGGGAGCCATGCCAATTTACACTTATCAGCGGGGTACACAAAGTCTGCAGTCTAGACTACCAGTTGCCCGACTTCCATGATTTTGTGTGCTGTCGATTTGGTACCTGAGTCTGAGCGTGTGGGTTTCGAATCCCAGATGAGATTCGACCCAAAAAAGTAATACAATTTGTAGTTTACTAAGATAGCGTAATCCCAATTATAAAATATGTTGTATCCCACAAAGAACAAGCATTGTCACAAAGGTGACATAATCCCCCACCCCAAATTATCAAAACAAACTTAAAAAGTAATGAAAGTTTAAGATGAAGTTAAATGACAGCAAAAAGCATGACCAATCAACCTCTCTTGATATCTTGCTCTGTAGTTGTTCAAACACACAAATATTTCAAGCCTCACTTTGACCTTGACATGAATGTCATGGTGTATGAAATATGCAAAACTAGTAATTAAGAAAATGCAGTTTTTGGTTCTTGAGATATCACTAACAAGCTAAGCATGCAGGTTAGCATGCTAAAATAGTTAAAGTGTCGCCATCACCTTGAAGATTAAGTGAAGGTCACCAAAATCGACTTGGCCCTGCACCTTCCCTAGATGAGGCTAGGTGTCAAACATGAAGAAATCCAGTGAACGGTTCTTGAGATATCTCGTAGACAAGGGTATAACGTTAATGTCCCCTTGTGACCTTGAAATGAAGGTCAAGATCACCAACCCTGACTGGACCTTTCGCATACTGTGATGAACCTTGGTACCAAATATGAACAGAATCTAGCCAACGGTTCTTAAGATATTCCAATTCGTAGATACGTACGTACGGACAGACGGATGGAGCCTAGTACTATTATTATCCGCCGCCGCACGTTTTGCACTAAGTGGGGGATAATAACTGCCACATGACAAGTGCTGTCATGTGAACGAATAGTTACCATCAGACAGAGTGGCAGACAGAAGGATAGTCTGGCGACCATGGTTGCTCCGTGTGTTCAACGCTGTCACAATTTGGGCAATGTGTTTTTCATATCCAAGGTTACAAAGTCTGAAATGACAGCAAGAACATAAAGATATGATAAAAAAAGCCAGACTGTCTGCCTCATCCAGCACAAGAAATTCCACCCTGTCCACCCTCAGACTAGATGTGTACCACCCGTCTGCCTCATCCAGCACAAGGAATTCCACCCTGTCCACCCTCAGACTGGCTGTGTTACCACCTGTCTGCCTCATCCAGCACAAGGAACTCCACCCTGTCCACCCTCAGACTGGCTTAGTACCCACCCGTCTGCCTCATCCAGCACAAGGATCTCCACCCTGTCCACCCTCAGACTGGCTGTGTACCCACCTGTCTGCCTCATCCCAGCACAAGGATCTCCACCCTGTCCACCCTCAAACTAGATGTGTACCACCCGTCTGCCTCATCCAGCACAAGGAATTCCACCCTGTCCACCCTCAGACTGGCTGTGTACCCACCAGTCTGCCTCATCCAGCACAAGGAACTCCACCCTGTCCACCATCAGACTGGCTGTGTACCTACCTGTCTGCCTCATCCAGCACAAGGATCTCCACCCTGTCCACCCTCAGGCTGGCTGTGTACCGACCTGTCTGCCTCATCCAGCACAAGGATCTCCACCCTGTCCACCCTCAGACTGGCTGTGTACCCACCTATCTGCCTCATCCAGCACAAGGAACTCCACCCTGTCCACCCTCAGACTGGCTGTGTACCCACGTGGTCCACCAGTCGCCCAGGTGTGCAAACCATAATGTTGATGCCCTTACGTATGCTGCAACCAGAGAGATGGTGGTTACAGCTGCTGTGTTAGATTGTAACCTACCACAACAAGACGTTATTGCAGCAACAACAGGTTTAACGGCGATAAAAATGGGTTGTTACTGTAGCAACAACAGCCAAGTTTTATAGCTGCGACATTGGTTAGTTACTGCAGCAACAACAAAGGGGTTTTACAGCTGAGACAATGGGTAGTTACAGCAGCAACAACAAAGGGGTTTCCAGCTGAGATGATGGGTAGTTACAGTAGCAGCAACAGAGGGGTTTTACAGGTGAGACAATGGGTAGTTACAGCAGCAACAACAAAGGAGTTTTAAAGCAGAGACAATGGGTAGTTACAGTAGCAACAACAAAGGGGTTTTACAGGTGAGACAATGGGTAGTTACAGTAGTAACAACAAAGGGGTTTTACAGCTGAGACAATGGGTAGTTACAGTTGCAACAACAAAGGGGTTTTACAGCTGAGACGATGGGTAGTTACAGTAGCAACAACAAAGGGGTTTTACAGCTGAGACAATGGTGGTTACAGTAGCAACAACAAAGGGGTTTTACAGCTGAGACGATGTGTAGTTACAGTAGCAACAACAAAGGGGTTTTACAGCTGAGACAATGGGTAGTTACAGTAGCAACAACAAAGGGGTTTTATAGCTGAGACGATGGGTAGTCACAGTAGTAACAACAAAGGGGTTTTATAGCTGAGACGATGGGTAGTTACAGTAGCAACAACAAAGGGGTTTTACAGCTGAGACGATGTGTAGTTACAGCAGCAACAACAAAGGGGTTTTACAGCTGAGACAATGGGTAGTTACAGTAGCAACAACAAAGGGGTTTTACAGCTGAGACGATGTGTAGTTACAGTAGCAACAACAAAGGGGTTTTACAGGTGAGACAATGGGTAGTTATAGCAGCAACAACAAAGGGGTTTACAGCTGAGACAATGTGTAGTTACAGTAACAACAACAAAGAGGTTTTACAGCTGAGGCGATGGGTAGTTACAGTAGCAACAACAAAGGGGTTTTACAGCTGAGACAATGGGTAGTTACAGCAGCAACAACAAATGGGTTTTACAGCTGAGACGATGTGTAGTTACAGTAGCAACAACAAAGGGGATTTACAGCTGAGACGATGGGTAGTTACAGTTGCAACAACAAAGGGGTTTTACAGCTGAGACAATGGGTAGTTACAGTAGCAACAACAAAGGGGTTTTACAGCTGAGACGATGTGTAGTTACAGTAGCAACAATAAAGGGGTTTTACAGCTGAGACAATGGGTAGTTACAGCAGCAACAACAAAGGGGTTTACAGCTGAGACAATGTGTAGTTACAGTGACACCAACAAAGGGGTTTTACAGCTGAGACGATGGGTAGTTACAGTAGCAACAACAAAGGGGTTTTACAGCTGAGACAATGGGTAGTTACAGCAGCAACAACAAAGGGGTTTTACAGCTGAGACAATGTGTAGTTACAGTAGCAACAACAAAGGGGTTTTACAGCTGAGACGATGGGTAGTCACAGTAGTAACAACAAAGGGGTTTTATAGCTGAGACGATGGGTAGTTACAGTAGCAACAACAAAGGGGTTTTACAGCTGAGACGATGGGTAGTTACAGTAGCAACAACAAAGGGGTTTTACAGCTGAGACAATAGGTAGTTACAGTAGCAACAACAAAGGGGTTTTACAGCTGAGACAATGGGTAGTTACAGTCGCAACAACAAAGGGGTTTTATAGCTGAGACGATGGGTAGTTATAGTAGCAAGAACAAAGGGGTTTCCAGCTGAGACGATGTGTAGTTACAGTAGCAACAACAAATGGGTTTTACAGCTGAGACAATGGGTAGTTACAGTAGCAACAACAAAAGGGTTTTACAGCTGACACGATGGGTAGTTACAGTAGTAACAACAAATGGGTTTTACAGCAGAGACAATGGGTAGTTACAGTAGCAACAACAAAGGGGTTTTACAGCTGAGACAATAGGTAGTTACAGTAGCAACAACAAAGGGGTTTTACAGCTGAAACAATGGATAGTTACTGTACAAACAAGAAAGATATTTTACCGCTGAAACACTGAGAAGTGACAGTAGCAACAACACAGTAGTTAACACCACCAGATGAGAAGAGTGTTACATGTGTAACTACACCAACAAAGTATCAAGTACAGCACCTGGATTTCTCTGCCTTCCTCTTCTCACCTCCAATCACAAGGCCTGGAACAATTCGGATAAACGGCTGCAAATGATGGACAAAAGATTGTCACTACAAGATGTATCTTGCATATTACATTGTTTAGTGAGTCACAACTCGCAATTACTTATAAACATGAACTATAGTCCTTGCTGAGTTACTACAAGCCCAACTTGCACCTTGCTGTCTTTATGGTGGAACCACAAGCCATAATGGGTATACTATCGAGTCAATGCCAGGGCTCACAGTGTGAGAGTTTGGGTTTATAAACACCTGCAGGCACTGCTGGGCCAGCTGAAACGGAGAGAGGACATGTCAAACACTGCACAGAAGTCATGACTCATGTCAAGTGTATGGCATCTGATGAAACATAGCTGTGATAGTACCTATCTGGTTGACCGCCTCCGTGGTGTAGTGGTTAGAGCGTACGCCCGGAGAGCGGAAGGTCGCGGATTCGATCCCCGACCGCGTCATACCAAAAGACGTTAAAATATGGTAGTTGTTGGTCCCTGTCTGGTGCTCGGCATTGATGGGTACAACAAGCACTGGTCGGCTCGGAGTCAGTATAATGTGTCTGAGTGGGGTATTCATGCTTCACTGCGGCATGGTATCTCAGTGGGCTAGCACTATAAAACCAGCTTCAGTCTGGGCTAGTACAAGCAGCCGCACAGACACACATACACGCATGCACGTCGTCATATGAGCGAAATATTCTCAAGCACGATGTTAAACCCAATTTCACCTCTCCTCACCTATCTGGTTTCTCTGTGTTATACAGAATATAGTTTTGTTTGGGTTCAATCTGCAATCCTACTTTGGCCATATCCATCATGGTTGCTAAGACGATTGGTCTATTTCAGTCAATCCAGCGCCACCTTCTGGAAGAAACGCATTTGCTGGACTATAACTGCTACCAGTCTGTCTGTGTGTCATCCCTCTGTATTGAACATTTTGTATGCTACTACCTACCTCTCTCGTGGGTACTACGACAATAGCGTACGGCCCATCAGCCCGGGTTATAGGAGGTTCCAAGGCCTGCAGTTTCTGTATTATAGGCACGGCAAACGCCAGGGTCTTTCCTGAAACAACCATGCATTCCTTACATTGATAATTTCACTGCAGCGTACACTTACATAGTGGATAACCTCCTCAGCATTCATTTACCTAGTTCACTACAAACCACAAACTACATCTGAAATGACATATTACCCCCACAGCAAACACATGAAATAGTAGCATACACTTCCATAGTGAATTACAACTACCTACCTGAGCCAGTAGTGACCTGGGCCCCGTTCCTCAAAGCGATCGTAGCGCTACGACAGTCGTATGCCTATGTTAAAGTATGGGAAAGCTTTGAGGAACGGGGCCCTGACCAAGCTGAGCCAATCTGTGACCTGACTTAGCTGAGCCAGTCTTTGACTTGACCTAGCTGAGCCAATCTGTGACCTGACCTAGGTGAGCCAGTCTTTGACTTGACCTAGGTGAGCCAATCTGTGACCTGACCTAGCTGAGCTAGTCTGTGACCTGACCTAGCTGAGCTAGTCTGTGACCTGACCTAGCTGAGCCAGCCTGTGACCTGACCTAGCTGAGCCTTTCTGTGATCTGACCTACCTGAGCCAATCTGTGACCTGACCTAGGTGAGCCAGTCTTTGACTTGACCTAGCTGAGCCAATCTGTGACCTGACCTAGCTGAGCTAGTCTGTGACCTGACCTAGCTGAGCTAGTCTGTGACCTGACCTAGCTGAGCCAGTAGTGCCCTGACCTAGCTGAGCCAGTCTGTGACCTGACCTAGCTGAGCCTGTCTGTGACCTGACCTAGCTGAGCCAATCTGTGACCTGACCTACCTGAGCCAGTCTTTGACTTGACCTAGCTGAACCTGTCTGTGACCTGACCTGCCTGAGCAAATCTGTGACCTGACCTACCTGAGCCAGTCTGTGACCTGACCTACCTGAGCCAGTCTTTGACCTGACCTACCTCAGCCAGTGTGTGACCTGTCCTAGCTGAGCCAATCTGTGATCCTACCTACCTGAGCCAGTATATGACCTGACCTACCTTAGCCAGTATGTGACCTGACCTAGCTGAGCCAGTCTTTGACTTGACCAACCTGAGCTTGCCTGTGACCTGACCCAGTTTGTGACCTGACCTAGCTGAGCCAGCCTGTGACCTGACCTAGCTGAGCCAATCTGTGACCTGACCTAGCTGAGCCAGTCTGTGACCTGACCTAGCTGAGCCAGTCTGTGACCTGACCTAGCTGAGCCAGTCTTTGACCTGACCTAGCTGAGCCGATCTGTGACCTGACCTAGCTGAGCCAGTCTGTGACCTGACCTAGCTGAGCCAGTCTGTGACCTGACCTACCTGAGCCAGTGTGTGACATGACGTAGCTGAGCCAGTCTCTGACCTGACCTAGCCGAGCCAGTCTCTGACCTGACCTACCCGAGCCAGTATGAGACCTGACCTACCTGAGCCCGTCTGTGACCTGACCTATCTGAGCCAGTGTGTGACCTGACCTACCTGAGCAAGTGTGTGACATGATCTAGCTGAGCCAATCTGTGACCTGACCTAGCCGAACCAGTCTCTGACCTGACCTACCTGAGCCAGTATGTGACCTGACCTAGCTGAGCCAGTCTGTGACCTGACCTAACTGAACCTGTCTGTGACTTGACCTAGGTGAGCCAGTCTGTGACCTGCCCTAGGTGAGCCAGTCTGTGACCTGACGTAGCTGAGCTTGTCTGTGACCTGACCTAGCTGAACCAGTCTGTGACCTGACCTAGCTGAGCCAGTCTGTGACCTGACCTACCTGAGCCAATCTGTGACCTGACCTACCTGAGCCAGTCTGTGACCTGACCTAGCTGAACCAATCTGTGACCTGACCTACCTGAGCCAGTGTGTGACCTGACCTACCTGAGCCAGTCTGTGACCTGACCTAGCTGAGCCAGTCTCTGACCTGACCTAGGTGAGCCAGTCTGTGACCTGACCTACCTGAGCCAGTGTGTGACCTGACCTACCTGAGCCAATCTGTGACCTGACGTAGCTGAGCTTGTCTGTGACCTGACCTAGCTGAACCAGTCTGTGACCTGACCTAGCTGAGCCAGTCTGTGACCTGACCTACCAGAGCCAATCTGTGACCTGACCTACCTGAGCCAGTGTGTGACCTGACCTACCTGAGCCAGTCTGTGACCTGACCTAGCTGAGCCAGTCTCTGACCTGACCTAGGTGAGCCAGTCTGTGACCTGACCTACCTGAGCCAGTGTGTGACCTGACCTACCTGAGCCAATCTGTGACCTGACCTACCTGAGCCAGTCTGTGACCTGACCTACCTGAGCAAGTTTGTGACCTGACCTACCTGAGCCAGTCTGTGACCTGACCTACCTGAGCCCGTCTGTGACCTGACCTACCTGATCCAGTGTGACCTGACCTACCTGAGCCAGTCTACGACCTCACCTACCTGAGCCAGTGTGTGACCTGACCTAGCTGAGCCAGTCTGTGACTTGATGAGGGCGTCCTGACCCTGCAAGATTGTGGGTATGGCTCGCTGCTGTGCAGCTGTCATCTGTGTCAGCTGCAGCCTTTCTTCCAGTGCATGTACCTGTTGACATGACAATCTCATCATGTGAAATCAATAATGACAATCTCACCATGTTGACATCAACATTACAATCTCACCATGTCAACATCATAATCGACATCAGTATTACAACCTTATCATGCTACCATCCTCATTACAGTACAACCAGAAATTATTGAGAATTTAACGATTGTACATTATTTTATTCTTTTCACTCATTACTCACGTATTAATGTGAATATTAGTAGAACATAACTCCAGATTCAAAGAGAGGTGAACAGTTAGTATTTTGTAAAGTCACCATGGGCAGCAATGCAGGCTTCAATGCGGCGGGGCATGCTACTGATCAAAGAAGTTAGAAAGTTGTGGTCCATGCTGTCCCAATATCGAACCACCTCTTCTTTCATTGCAGCAATATTTGTCAGATTTTTCTTATTGACACTTTCCTTCATAAGTCCCCAAACATTTTCTATTGGATTTAGGTCAGGGCTATAGCTTGGCTTATCTAATAATGTCATATTTTGGGTCCGAAACCAGGCCTGTGAATGCTTTATAGGATGTTTTGGATCGTTGTCCTGCTGGAAAATCCAAACATTTCCATAGAACACGTGAGCAGATGGAAGTAAATGTCCCTCGAGAATATCTGTGTACCGCTCACTGTTCATATTCCCTTCAAATACACAGAAGGGCGTTGCCCCTAACACAGATATGCTACCCCAAACGTTAAATTTCGGAGTGTATTTCGGCGCTGATACAAAGGTTTTTCAGTTTGTTTGGTCCACACAGAACTTTCATCTGAGAAAATCACATTGTCCCAGTCAAAATTATATATGCTGTAAGCACCAGTTCAAACGTCGCTCCTTTTGTTCAGGTTTCATGATCGGTGATGGAATTCCTCGACTTTTCTGCCAACCCATTGGTTCAGGTCACAGATTGGTTCAGCTAGGTCAGGTCACAGACTGGCTCAGGTAGGTCAGGTCTCAGACTGGTTCAGCTCAGTTCTAATTGTCTCTTTGCAGACAGCCACAGTTCCTCTATCAATCGTATCCAGCCTTAAGTTTTCTAAACTCCTTCGTTTGCTTTTAGAAACAAGAACACCAAGCCGCCTCCTGTCACCGACAGTCAATTTTCTGGGCCTACCTGCATCTCCCTGGTGCTCAATGCCATATCCATTTGCAATATTTTTTCAAAACACGATAAACAGTGGACAAAAGGGACGCCTGTTCTACTTGAAATCACTTTAGCTGATCTGATGTCCTTGTTATAATACTCTAAAATCAACTTCCTCTTCTCTAAATCATCCATACTGAGGATCACTGAAAATGTCGTCTGCAAGCAAGTAAACGAAGGGGGATTACTCTCCACAAACTAATGAAAACGGATTAACAGAGTTGTCTCGCTTGAATGAAACCAAGCACTTAATAGCTGGTCAAGGTTGTTTACACTAGAAATCCTATAAAACATATTCCTAAAATTCTCAATAATTTCTGGTCATACTATGTGTGTTTGCGTATTGCAATATTTATTGCAATATAATATGACAGTGTAACACATGGTTTAACATATTGAAAATGTAATTTTCTGATTAAAATTGATATTTTATACTTATGCTTAATTGCCTCGTGCCTAATTGCTTGTCTTCTTCTTGCGAACTATAGTGGAACACTTGAATCCCCTTTTGAAGCTCCCTTCCAAACAGTGGACGTAAAATCACTCACCTCAGTAGTCTCCCTTTACTCCATCTTGTCACTCTCTCCGTTATTTCGAGCCCTGGCACTTGGATTTGCAGGGAAATCCAGAGTGCCATGAGGGGAGGTCAGAAGGTCTAACCTCATGAATATAAAATATCAATTGTAGTCAGAAAATCACATATTTTTCCTTATCCTGACTCCTGCTTAGTTGCCTGTCGAATCCGACGGAAACGGTGTAGGGTCAAGCCACTCTGAATTCTCTGCTGATTTACGTCCTTATACCCCCTTAGGAACTTCTAATGGCATTTGTCCTTTCTTCCAGCTTCCTCTGATGAATGTGGGGGACCACAGCTTGTCAGATTTATCCTGACATTTTGTGTGGATTTTGCTGAGGTTATCTGGGACGTCTTGTACCGGATCTATGGGTGGTAGCGTTAGCGTGTTACAATCGTCGTTAGACATCATGTAAGTGTAGGCTTCATTATTCTCCTTAGATGATGCAAGCTGCAGACCATTAGCCATCCATGATTTGATTTCTGTATCTGAGAAAATAACTCCTCCATCATCCTCCGGTTGCGATGTGTCACATTCTGAAGGTCGTTGCTGTTGGTCCTGATCTCTAGGTGGAGGTCTATGTGTAAGCCTGCGCGAAGGCACTGGTGAATGCCTAATTGGAGATGTACTAGGTGATCTGTACCTGCGTGGTGACGACCATGAAGATCTTGCCGAGGATCTGCGCGATGGTGACCTGTCTCTGTAAGTTGTATGCCTTTGTGAAGGCGTATAATCTCTTCTGCGTGGTGAACGCGTAGACCTCTGG